CTACACCAAGCTCCAGGCGCCAATCACCCCTAACTTCGCCTTACTTCATTGGTTTCCCATTCCCCAGAGGGTCGAGTTTAAGATCCTCGTCCTCTTTTTTAAAAAGCCCTTCACAGTCTTGCTCCTCCCTTCTTCTGAGACCAACTAGATGAGAGCTAACTTTCTACAGTTGAATGTCAACAAGACTGAGGCCCTCCTGATTGGCTCTCATCAGCATCTCCACACCTCAGGTGCTGACAGCATCACCATCCAAGGATACACACTCCACCTTCCTGAGCCAGTCCGGAACGTTGGCGTCTTGTTTGACCCTCATTTATTCTTTCTACCCCATATCTGTGCCATGACCCACTCTGCCTTCCACCATCTCCGCAACATTGCCTGGCTCTGCCACTGCCTCACACCGCAGGCCGCTGGAACCCTCATACACGCATTCATAATATAACACCGAGGCTTGATTATGCAAACTCTTCACTCCAAAGGCTGCAGATCATCCAGAACTCCGCAACCCGTGTCCTCTTCCGCACCAGGCTCCGTGACCTTATCGCCCCTATCTTCACTGGACTCCATTGGCTTCCCATCACACAGAGGATACAGTTCAAGATCTTGGTCCTCACCTTCAAAGCTCCTCCCTACCTCTGCGACCTCCTAACCCCCTACCAACCTGCCCGCTCCATCCGCTCAGTGGGCTACGGACTGCTTCACGTCCCACGCCTCATCCGCCCCACCATTGGCAGGCGGACCTTCAGCCACTCTCCCTCCATGCTTTGGAACTCCATCCCGCAGTCCCTCTGCCTCGCCCCTTCCCTTGCCTCCTTCAAGATCCATCTCAAGACCCTCCTTTTCGACTGTGATCACTCTCCTTCCCTCCAGCCTCCCTGATCCCAATCCTCAGCTCGGGTCTGAAACACTGATTGTCCAGCGCCTTGGAATGTCCAAGGAATGAATGGAATGAAAGGCACTATACAAATGTAATTATGTTTTTTTTTAAAATCCCTCCACAGTCTCGCTCCTCCCTACTTCTGTGAACTACTAAAACTTTGCCAAACCTCCCGCTCCCTCCTCTCGGCGGGCACAGGCTTGCTCCATGCCCTCTGCCCGAGCCATTATTGGCAGTTGGGCCGTAAGCCATTCTGCCTCCACCTTTTGGAACTCCATCTCCTTCAGAACCTGTCTCAAAACCTTCATCTTTGACCGATTTTAATTAGAGAATTCTTTTAAATGTTTTTTTAAAAAAAAGTATTTAACTAGCAAGAAATGGCAAGCAGTGGGAGAGCATTGCTTTGTCAAAGGGCTGCCCTTCAGATTAGATGTTAAACTGAGGTTCCATATGCACATCCTTTCTTGAGGACATTAAATACCTCATAATATTATTCAAACAAAAGAGTACCTGGCCAACAATCCTGCAGATAAAATTGATCATTCACCTCATGGCTGTTTGTGGGAATCTTGCTGTGCGCACAATCGCTGCCGTCTTTGCTGCCAAAAAAAAACAACTCGCTTTGTGGAATTTATTTCCTCTCACTTCTATGCAGCAACACACAAATTTGTTCTTGTACACAACACAGATACTGTAGTTCTGCTTTGAATCTAAAGGAGATCAAAACTAATTCAGAAAACAATGTAGTGCTCCGTGGAAATCAGGGAGCCCCGCTGGTTACTTTGTGCCTCGCTGGATAGTGAAATTGCTGCACTGTGGAAGCCAGGAGGCCCTGCTGATTTCTTTGTACCCCTCAGCTGGAGAGATTGCTTTTCATCACAGTGACTTTTTTTTAACAGTTCACCTTGTCACCATATTAATAAGAAATAAAAAGTCAGCATAAGCACACGAAGCGTGAAGCGCTTTAAATATTTATGCAAACTTCAGAAGTTGCCTATTCCTATTTTCCTGACACATTGAGGTTGCAAATTATTTTTGACCCTGAAGAATTGTGAAAGTTCATAGAATGTTGGCCTTGCTTTGAATGTACCATAGATCCAATTGGTCAAGCTTGGGGCTGAAGTTCTTCACTTGGCTTGTGTTCACCTAAATTGGATATGCAGCACCACCATAATAACACACAAGATCTTTCGCAGAAAATATTAAGCTCTATCCCTTCCAAACTATAAATAATCTAGTTTCTACATCCGTCTCCAAGATAGATGTTCTTTTTTATAAATAGTGAAAAACTTAATTGAAGCAAAATATATTTGGACTTGATTGTTTAATGTTTGAAATCTCTGCATCACAACTTCAGTTTGAAGAGTTACTGATGATTCTCAGGCATAAGATCAAAGTCTTGTGAGGATAGGTTAGGAACTTTGGCTGTTCTCCTGAGAGTGGAGAAGATTAATGGGAGATGTAATACAATTATTTGTATGAATGTTTAATGTTTAATTTTCATTATTTTCAAGTACGGCTTTCCATAATAGAAGCAGCGAATAGAAAATTAGATTCTGATTAGAAGATTTAACAGAAAAGATGTAGCTATGAATATAAGCAGGCAATCTTTCAATAAAGGATTATAAAAAGTTACATTGAACTTCCAGAAAAGTGCAGTAACATGAGAACAATTGACCTATTTTAAAATTGGACGTCGATTTTGTAGCAGAAGGGATTAGATGCGAAGTAAAAACCCAGAGAACAATACACAGAATGTGATAGTGAAATATACTGGGTCACTGTGTACCTCGAAGAATGAAACTATAGTACAATATAATTAGCATCCTGGACAAAATCTAGCATTGGTTGCTGTGTCTTATATCCTTCATTCGTTATCTATTAATCCCCTCCACCACTTTGACATCGACAAAAAGAAAACTAGGTGAATGGGCCGTCAACCCAATGGAGCACCATCAAGGTTGATCAAGGTGTTGTAGGTTGTGGAAAAAAGGAAATCAGCAAACTGACAAAGTTTTAAACGCCTTTGGATTGGAGGAAAGGAAGGGCGAGGGAGATGAGGAATGAGATCCTCAGAAAGGGTGAGTCAGAGTAGAAGACTGCATTGAATCACGACCATTTCAACATTGCATTGCAATAGTACTTCAATTTGTATCTACCTTTCAAAAGAAAAGTCCATCGTGAGTTACAAATTGCAAGGGGCATCTGGGCAGAACAACATGAGTGAAGCAAATATAATTCCTTTATTTAGCTTGTTGGGTTAGAGCAAGAGAGACTGAAATAGCATGACGACAAAAATAATACTTGCATTTGATATAGCGCCTTATCACATCTTCGAGACGTCTCAAAGTGCTTCACAAGAATATACTGTAAAGTGAATTGACTATATTTTGTGGGCGAAACGCAGCAGCCAATTGCGCACAACAGCGTCCCACAAACAGTCATGGATTGAGAGAGCAAATAATTATTATTTAAAAGAAATGTTTTAAGGGATTATTACCCCCAGAAAAGCAATTGACTAGGAACCGAGTTCCTACTTACTGCTAAGTAAACAGAGACATGTGGAGTAAGGAAACTTGCCTAATGTTTCGCCCTGCCTGGGAATTGAATCCAGGTCCTCTTACTTCAATAGTCAGAACAGCACAGGAAAATGGAGTGTAATACCATCAAGCTGAGAAAATACTTGAACGTTTTTACAGGATGCTGTCATCTAAGAAAGCAAAAGAAAGTCAGTGCCAGACATCTCTTTCCTTGAAGACTTCATTCAGAGCCAGAGACTGGCCAGCTTCATTCCATTGTCTTTCTTTCAAGCACTAAAGATCTGATGCTGGACTGTGAGTCTGCTTCAGATTGGTTGTTACAGCAGTAATAATATAAGATCTGTTTTCAGAAATCCAGACCTCACTATTTATGGCAAGAACAGAAGAGATACTGCAACTTTTTCTCCTTATTCTGTACGAATCCCCCAGAACAGTGCATAATCGAAACACTGAGTAACAATTTCAGATTAGAATAAACCATTGGCCCATTTAACCTGTCCATCCAATATCCCCCCCCAATCCTTCAATGTAATTGTCTCTAGATTTAATAACCTAGAGTTGTCTTAGTTAACAGGAACTTGTCTTGTTCCAATTTTAAACCCTTTATAGTTTGAGTAGAATTGGAGACAAATCTTCAAATATCACATCTGCTGCTGATGGAATCTCTCCGAGTGTAATCTCCTAAAACTCTTCCTTTGTGCAGATGAGTTCAAGTGAAGAGTTATCTATCATTTGTTGAAGCAGGATTGTTGCAGGATATGTTCGGCTGAGTGAAATTTCACTATTGCGTGTTGACAGTCAAGTACAATTCCTCCAAATTTTTCTGTGCCCTCAGCAAGTTCAGGACACACATCTACGAGATATTCATTGTTTGTCTGAACCTTGCTAAGCCTCGTAATTACACAAAAATAACAATATATCTTCCGGTAAACGTTAGTTCCTTTATCATGTGAATTAATCTTGTCAGTGGTAAGGTACTTGTCTTGATTACAGAATCATGAATGCAATTGTGTGAAATAGAATTGTAAAAGCTGTGGGCAAATTAATTTTATTGTGGCAGCAATCTGATAGACTTGAGTCCTCTGAAAATAGTGCATTATTTTAAGTTCCACATTATTGGGAAACATTTTGTAAAGTCAGATGTTCCTTAAAGCGTATATATTGATTTATTTTGACTCCTCCCTACCTCTATTACCTGCTAACTCCATATCGACCTGTGCGCTCCCTACGCTCAGCAGGCTTCGATCTGCTCTACATCCCACAATCAGTCCATCCCACCATTGGAGTTCTGGCCTTCAGCTTCTCTGCCCCCACCCTTTGGAACTCCATCCCACAGTCCCTTTGCCTTGCTCCCTCCCCTGTCTTCTTCAAGGCACGTCTCAAAACACTCCTCTTTGACCACGTCTTTGATCATCCTCTACCCCTACCCTCCCAGTCCTCCACCCCTCCTGATCCCAACCACTTGCTCGAGTCCAAATCCATGACTGTCCAGCTCCTTGGGACGTCCTCCCAATGCGAAAGATGCTATACAAATGTAATTTGTTTCTCTGTTGTGCTTGACATAATATTTTGGTTATTTCCAGGTCGGGTGTCTGATACGGGTCCCTACGGAATTAGTTAAACAGCGGACACAAGCTTGTCCAACATCTAGTTCTTACAAGATATTTCTTGAGACTGTGAAGCAGGAGGTAAGCCTTTGTAAAAATACAATGATAGATGTTTCTTCAACGCAGGTAATCAACCAGAACGCTGCACAATACAGCTTCCATATCCTCAGGCGAGGAAGGCAGAAATTTCCCATTGAGCATTACAACAAAACCTTGGTTGATCTTGATTTTTAATTTGAATACATACATTAAAGTAGGGGCTTACCATCCATATTAGTATTAAGATGGAGGAGCCAGTTATTTATCTAGAAGACAAAGGACTCTTGTTTTGACTATCAGCTTCACTTGTTTCGAATAATGCATTTCCTTATAAAATGAAGAGTGAAGTTTTCTTCAGAATGATGATTGTGAAATCTATAATTAAGGCAGAACAGATCATGCATAAAAGCTGGAAGTGTCTTACAATTCTTTTGACTTAATTTCTTGCTAGCACAATGCAGAGTTATGAAAAAATAACTGTGAGATGGTCGAGGCCAGAATTGTTGAGCAACATATCTTCAAAGGCATCTGTTGTAACATAGTATTCTTCTTTCTCACCTGAAAGGTTGAGTTTATGCTTTATGAATCCTGAATCTTGATACTGGGCACCTGACTGGGCTCCTGCTTACAGATCAGCATGCCCTGTTCTGGCATGGACCAGGAGATAAAAGATTAATTGCCAGAATATGGCAGGAAGGCATTCCTTCGCTCTCTGCACACTCCCCGTGTTACTATATGAGTCTCAATCTGGGACAGGATTCAAAGCGCTCACAGATGCTTATGATTGATTGATGCTCCTTCAATTTTCCACAAGCCTCTTGTGACTACTATGCAATTAATCTTCCCTTTTGCAGTCAATCCGGAAACCCTGGTAGTATCTAAATACCATGACTAAATCCCACCATCAAGTGGATAAACTTTACAATGTTCAAAGCTGCCAATGTGGGATTTGATCCTCTTTTTTTTTCTTCGCGTGACTAAGTCTTTATTGCTCCACATGGTCATGTTGCTTTAATCATCCTCTAAATCCTTTCCAGCTAGAGACCAAGAATAAAAGTAGATTTGTTGGGTCATAAAAATACAGTTGGGCAGCACCTTACAGGTTATGATCGGCAGTTACCATACTATATGGGGGTGGGGGGGGGGGGTGGTGTGGTCCCTGATGGCCAGTTGGTAAGTTTGCTGCTCAGTGTACATTTGAGGCTTGAAAGTCCAAGGTTCAAAAGTCAGAGTTAGCTGATCTCAGTGGTAGAGATACTACAATTGACACCGCAGAGTTGGTGGATAGAGGGTGGTGGATGAGCCAAGTATAACAGCAGTATGGCAAGGTTACCACTACCGTCTCCAGACCCTCTTTGAGTTTGTCTTTGGTCACCCTCCTACCCCTACCCTCCCCGCCCTTCACCCCTCCTGATCCCAACCACCAACTTGGGTGCAGATCCCTGACTGTCCAGTGTCTTGGGACGTCCTCTTGAAGTGAAAGGCGCTATACAAATGTAACTTGTTGTTGGAAAGGGGGAATGCTGTCTGAGGGCAGGAATGTGCTTAGCTACGATGCTCCCCATTGTTGAAGAATGCACTAAACCTGTCTTGGTTTACATGTGAAGAATGGCTATTCGGGTGATTCTGCATAAAATTATTGGGCAAATTGCTATAAATATTTGACCATATTATTAGACACAATTCTGGTTTTACCTTAGTGAATAATTTTGTCTGAAGTTATTTTCTCTCTTCTTCAGGGTTTCTTTGGACTCTACAGGGGATATGGAAGTACAGTGCTACGAGAGGTAAATTTACAAACGTACACGTTCTGTCGCTCACATAAGATATTTCATTTTGCCAATTTTTCTCCTCTAACCTCTGATTTAGCACAGACTCTGACTGGAATATATTCTCACGGACTGCATCTCTTCATTGCCTCACCCAAATGGCTCATGTGTGAGTCTGCACAGTTAATGTTGATGAGGTTTATAGCAGTGCCCCATTCCATTCGCACCCAATGTTAACACAGACATGTTTTTATCAGCATCATTAGATAGCATTAAATAGCAATGAGAAGTGCTATTCTTTCCTCCTCCCCCATCCAAATTTCTGGGTCAGCTGCAGTCAATTTACTCAACATGGATTGGAAAATGATCAAAGATCTTCTGATCTGTAAGGCATGGTTGATTTGTATTTATTTACCCCCTACCTCAGATTTTTCACAGAACCTCTATCCCATTCAGTATAATTCCATGTGTGCAAAGCAGTGGACAGCGATATCTTCATGAATCTTGTCTGTTTCAAAGCGTGGGTGATAGATGCTTAGCTGCATTGTCTATGCTGATCATGTAACTGCAAGTTTGTGGGGAGACGGTGTTTAGTTATAGAAAGGAAACTGCATTGTTTGAGTGAGATAGGTGATTCTAATTTCTTGCCCTGCAGGGTGTAAAAGATACTGGTAATGATTTCAAAATCTCTGAGGATATTTTCCAAGGAACAGAATTGTATTTAGCAATTTTGTTTTGCCATATTTCCTGGGAAGTAAACCATAAGGCAGGAATTGATGACAGTGGGTTTGTGATCTCGAGTTTTGAAATAAGTATTCCTGAAGAAAAACTGAATATTTCCGCAGAAGATTGGCAATCTGAGGGTATCAGCTAACATAGATCCTTGCGTAATGCATCAGCTACTAAGAATTGTTACAAATGTATTGATCTATTTGCAAATGGGTAAGGATTTCTTTGGTTTCATAAATGGGGCACCCTTGCGTTGTGTGTTGAGGAATAAGTTTGCAACCGAGAGAACAAATGTTCTAGGTTGGTTTTGAAATGTGCAGACTGCATTCATATCAGTGTTCAGTAATGGACAGATTTGATTCCTTTGTGTGACTGACATCATCAGGGTGTGATGGTTTGGCTCCCAAACCCTAAGGCAGGAGAGCCCCTCATCTATACTTTTAGAGAGTAAATTACAACGGCGTTACAAAATAAACCCTTGTAAGTACTTTACAAGTACTTTACATTTCTAGGTGCTCAATTATAAGGTAACTGTCCCCCTTTAAGTACTAAATATATTTTTNAAATATGCTTCAATTGCAGTCAAGTTTGGATATAGTTCAGAATAGGTTAGGTAATTGCAATTGGCTGCCGCTTTTTGCCCACAAAATATACAGTCAGTTCACTTTACAGTATATTCTGTGAAGCGCTTTGAGACATCTCGAAGATGTGAGAAGGCCCTATATCAAATGCAAGGATTATTATTAATTATTATAATTGGTGGTATAGTGTTTCTGTATCACATCTGTTAACTTGTAAAGCCATTCACTGCGTGGACTCTGAAAAAAACATAAATTTAGATCTTAATTGGGACTTTTTTTATTACTTTAAGTTAATATATCCTAAACGTTAGTTTTACTCAAACAAAACCTGATTCCTTCATATCAGCGTGGAATAGCTCAACCAAGTGGCAACTGTTGTAAACCAATATTTTGTGTCTATATTAGTCCTGAGAGTAAAGGGAAATGACTTATACCAGCATGAAAGATTCACTAAAGTGAATTCATGTAGTTTGCATAAAGATATAGAAGTGTGATGTGTACTTTAGCTTTTGAAGCCGTACAATTACTCATGCTGTTTGATGACATTTTCGGTGCGTGTTTACATAATTTCTAAATAAATTTAAATACTTTAAATGCTTCTGAAGTTAATTGTTGACAGATGTTCTGTGGTTTAAAATGACATTGATGAATTTTGGAGTAGGATTGCATCTGACACCACGGGTGTGAGCAGTTACTTGTGGAAGTAGTTTCTATATTTCCACAGGCGTGATATCATTTACTGCAGAGACTTCATAATCTCTGACTCCCTGTAACTATCATATTACCTTCCCCAAATATTATATTTAGCTTTCTGCAATAAATTAACTTTCATGGCTCGCCCTGTGACTTACTCCTTGCACTATTTTCATGCATTGAGATATGAATGTAAGCTAGATTATGAATCTTACAGGCATCAGCTGTTAGCACATTTTTTGATGGATATGTAGTGTAATATGCATACTGAGAGGTGTGCACAGACATTGCGGAATTGTCCGAGATGCTGAAATACAGAAGTGCGTCTGAAGCGAAGTGGCAAAAAGTGAAATCTTAATCTTTTAACTTTTCAAGATAAGGAAGAATGAGAGTCATGGAGTTCAAAACATAAGCAAACTGGTGTGATTAGGGATTTGAATCCGTGACTGACCAATAATCGCCATCTCATGTGTCAGGTCATGGAATTACTTGCACCTGTCTCAGATGATTATATTTCCGTTAATTATTGGGGTTGGGGGTGTGGGGAAGAAATTCTGCATTGGTTCTGATTGTCGGAGAACGGAGATTGACATATCATGCAACGCTGCTGTGGGTGTAAAGTGTACAATGGCTGTTGATTGTTTCCCCAATGGGAAAATGGCTTCCATTTCTTGCTGATCAAGATCCTTTCTGTGACAGAAAGCAGCTGGAGTCAAATTGGAGTCTTAATTCTCAAAGCAGGATTGCGTTAATTTTGACTTCTACTTTGCGAATATCGGAAACTATTTGATTTGCAAATTATCTAAATACATACCCCAATGGTTGGGAAAGCCCAGAGAAAAGAACCAGCAAGCCAAGCACAGACAAACTTTTGAGATACACATTAATAGAGGAGTCAGATTTAAGATAACTACAAGAGTGAAAGGACATCTATGGAGATTTTTTTTGTGTGCAGTGAGTTGTTGGGATGGTGCCCTGCCAAATAAAGTGGTAAAAGCAGAGTTGATTGTGGAGTCCTGTAGCTCAGTGGTTAGAGCACTTGCTTTGCAAGCGAGAGACCTGGGTTCGATTCCCGGCAGGGTGAAACTTTAGTTAAGTTTCATTACTCCACACGCTTGATAATAATCCCTCAAAAAAACAATAATAAATTGGTCATTTCAATCCACGACAGTTTGTGGGATACTGCTGTGTGCAATTGGCTGCTGCACTTTGCCCATAAATATACAATCAATTCTCTTTACAGTCTATTCTGTGAAGTGCTTTGAGACATCTAGAAGACTTGAAAAGCACTATATCAAATACAAGGATTATCATTATTGTGGATTTTAAATGAAAAGTAGATATTTGAATGTTAGAAGCTTGAAGGAGCAATGCAGTGGGGTTGAAAGTCCAGCTTACTCTGAGAGCTAATGTGGACTAAATGGCCTGATTGACCTCCTTCTGTGCTGTATATTTCATGATTCTATGAACAGAGTCTTCCTTTAATAATAATCTGATAATTTATTTATTATATCAATCTATTAAGAGCAAATTCTATCTCATTCAAATTTTACAGTAAGCCATAGGGAGAATACTCTGGGGGTGGAAGTGAAGAGAAAAGTGAACACAATTTTTACCAGTAAATTGACCCTCTTACGTTTTTTTGGGTCTGATCAAGATTTGGCTGAAAATATTCTGCGTTATCCACCTTTCAGGCAGCTTCACATGTATGCAACAACAAGTACCCTCTGCACACTTGTACATGTTGTATTTATACCAAGGGTGTGGTAATGATTTAATGCCTATTCATTCACCCAGCAGAAATTAAATTCTTTTGTTCAGCTTTTTAACACTTGCTGGAGCAATCTTGTCAGAAGGCAAAATCAGCTTCTATATATATAAAATAGTAGATTCCATCCAGTCCTTATTTTCTGCCTCACTAAACAAGTGTTATTCAGCTCAACTCCATCTGGATGCAGGGAAAGGGTAACAAGCTCCTTTTGATTTCTCCAAGGGGTTGTGAATAAATGAATAAATTTAGAACCCACTTAATACAGATTTTGCATACTAACAATTAGATAAAACACATGGTTACAAATGGATGCTATTCTCCTTAGGATTTGTTTTGACATATGTCAGGATGGTAATTAATTTTTTCTCTGCTATCTTAGTGTGAGATGTGACCCTATCTTGGTCCCTTTGTTTACTGAAGATGGCAGGGCTCCACTGGAAATTTAATTGGGGTCTTTTACATCATGTATATTCATTAAACAACCTTCAAAATTGATTTCTGAAGAAATATTGCTCATTTTGTGTTGTGTGTGCTGCATTGTGAAGTCGGACACATTATTGACAAATGAAATGCTATTTCCTTTTCAAAATTAAACAAATCACAAGTGACCTGCCATTTTCCAGGCAACCTTGCAAGGATTCTTTGGAAAGAATTATTGCTGCCCTTTTCCATCAGTTAAAATAATATGACTAGAACCCAGAGTTTAAATTGTCATGTTTAACATGTAGCTATTTAATGCCCATGGTGTCATTAAATGTAAAACATGTTAAAATTAGCCGATAGCCAGGATGGTGGTCTTTGGATTTGCCCGTTTGAATTATTCCCATACTTGAATTCAGCAGTGATTGGAAGGATAGTTGTATAAATTGGTCAACATTGGAGAGAAGCTGTGAGAGGTAGTGTTGCACTTATCGTCCAGCAAGTGGCTAACAGCCACATTTTCAGAAAATTGTCTACATGTAAAGATTTCTCTTAAAACTGATTGGCCAAGCCATCAGTTGAATAGGCTACTTCAGTAAATTACTATTTGTAACTTCCATGCTTTGACCTTCAGAGAAGTTTGTATTGTAAAGCACTCAGCAATCTGAGGTGCTCAATTGTGATGGGTTGGGGCACAGTGTCAGAAAGCAGTGGAAATGTTTGTTGCAAGACTTTGAGCTTGTATGAGCTGTCGGCGCACAAATACAAGGTACATTCCAGAACCTTGAGGAAAGGTGCTGGGTTTGCAGAACATTTTATTTGAT